CTGCTAACCCAGTTTGAGGAGTGTCAGTGAGGTTTACAATTCCTAACTTGGAGGAGATTGGGCATGTCACAAAGGTGAAGCACTTGGCCTTCCAGAAGGGTGCTAGTCACTATGTGTAATGACAGCTGAGGTTTATTGATTGTGACTTTGGTACAGCCCCCATGAGTTCAGACGTATCATCACTGCATTATAACTTGGCTTTTTCAGTCACAGTTAGGATGTGAATTGTCAATCCAGGTATTAATGTTTCTTTATTATAAGGATCAAATCAGTTAATGTTTTTCTAGTGGAGAGCTTAAATGTGACCTTCCTAGTCTCTCAGTTGTATGGCTGTATTAGTGCATAGTATTAAGGTAATAAATACACAAGTTCCAACAAAACTTGGTTAAAATAACAAGGATTTGACAAACCCATTAAGTAGTTTTCCCTTTGTCTTCACCTGATTAACTCCATCAAGACCTCAGAATAGTGGATGATCCCATATCCCCTATAGGCTGACACAATAAGTAAAATCTAACTGTGATGAAAATAGTTCTTTAGACTAAAAGTTCATTTACTTTACAAAATTGTTTACTGGACTCTTTAAAAAGCACTTTCTATTCAATGTACCAAGCATCTATTTTCTCAAAAGCTTTCAGTAGATGTATTCCACACTTAGAGAATTTGAAGAAATGGATTTATCTAAGAGGAAAAGTATGTACTTTCTTTATGTAATAACAAGTCTTAACTGACTATGCTAAAATATAAACCAAATGTGGAAACTCCCCTTTACCTCATTTAAAACTAAAAGCCATGTAACCTTGGACCTTCAGATTTTACTTATCAGATTTTTTTTAAACTAGGGCTTCTCCAATAGCCCATCATCTCTTGATACACTGAGTACATTTCAGTAATACTGTGACAACAGATTATGGTATGATATACACATGGAAATTATGACTTCTCTGCACTTGGGCTGTGAGGGGAAAAAATTCCAACCTCTTCGGTAGTAAAAGATGGGTTTATTTTTATTGCTTTAATTGTTGCTTTTTGTGTAAATGTTGTTTTCTAGTTTCACAACAAGGATTGTCTTTGCTATTTTAGGAAGGAGAGAGACTGCTAAATTCTTTGACAGGCCAGCCTCACTTGGAGGATATCCTCCTCTTTGCTATACCAATATGTGCACCGTACACTACCATGACAAACTATAAGTAAGTTGCAGCGATTTATCTGCAGAAGTAATGAACTTTAATTTGACAGATTAGCAGCACGTTGAGTTAGTTATTTAACACCTGTGTAAATGGTGTGATTTTTCTTTTGAAAGATATAAAGTGAAGCTCACTCCAGGCACCCAGAAGAAAGGAAAAGGTACGGTATACAGCATAATAGCCCTTTTCAACCCAGCAGCTTTTGAAGCTGGTACATGCCATTTAACATCTTCTTTCGTGTACTTTTTACAGCTGCCAAGACTGCTTTGCATAATTTCATGCATTACAAAGAAGCTACAGCAAGAGAAAAAGATTTATTTCGCAGCGTGAAGGTAAAGAGCCATCTCCTTGGCTTGTTCAAACTGTACTACAGCAAGAATGAAAGCAGCATTTAGTGCTATTGCTTTCAGTTTTGTCCTTGCATTGCTAACTACTTATGCTAAATTCTCTCTTCAATCTTGTATTTAGCTGTGACATTGAGTACCTTTCCCAGACATGAGGAAGAGCTCTGGGAAAGCTGGTCTCTCTCTCCAACAGAAGTTGGTCCAGTAAAAGATATCTCACCCACACCTTGTTTCTCCTTATTGGCATAGAAGATTAATAGACTTTTAAGGCCAGAAGAGACCATTAAATCATCTAGTCCCAACCCCCTCATCACATGCCAGCAAGATTTACTCAGTTACCCCTGTCTTGAGCCCAATAACTTGTATTTGACTAAGTATACCTTCCAGAAAATCATCCAGTCTTGATTTGAAGACAGCAAGAGCTGGAGAATCCACCACTTCCTTTCCAGTGGTTAATCACTGTTAGAGTTTTGTGCTGTGTTTTGAATTTGTCTGATTCCAGCCATTGGTTCTTTTTCTGCCTTTCTCTGCTAGATTCAAGAATGCTTTAGAACTGGGTATTTTCTGTACATGAAGGTACAGACACACTGTAATCAAGTCACCTCTCAGTCTTATTTTTGATAAACTACAGATTGAGTTTAGAATCTCACTGTAAGGCACTTGCTCCAGACCACAAATCATTTTTGTGGCTCTATGTATTGTCTCCAGTTTTTCAACATCCAAACTGTACACCGTATTCTAGTGTCTCACCAATGCCCTGTACAGAGGTAAAATCACCTTCCTGCTCATACTTGGTATCCTTGTTTATATAGCTAGGGATCGCATTGCCCTTTTGGCAGTCACACTGGGGCTCATGTTCAGTTGTTTGTCTGTGATCCCTAAATCCTCTTCTGAGTGACTGCATTCCAAGCGAAGTCTCCTATTCTGTCTGCATTATTTGTTCCTAGATGTATGACCTCGCATTTTGCTGTGTTAAAATACATGTACCAAGCGATCCAGATCACACTAACTGCCCTGTCCTCATTCACCATTCTGCAAAATTTATTATCAGTTATCTTATTTACTTCTAGATCCCTGATAAAAATGTTGAATAATCTGGCCTACCACTAGTTGTCGGGGAATCTTATTAGGAACGCACCCCTGCGATGATTCCTTGTTAACAACTATTTATATTGAATACCACTGAACAAACTAGTTATGTTAAGATAGATAGCTGGAGTGTTGAGCATATATATGATCTGATGATCCATTGTTTTCCATGGAATGGGTGGGAGGTACAGTAAGTGTTAATAGTTCTTTATTCATTAAAAACAAGGGGAAGGGGAAGCTCTGAGCACCCTGCATTTTCATCCATCATTTGCTGAACTGTCACATGGCCACTTTCTTTGGAGAAACAGGCAGAGATATGCTGTAATGTAGTGACAGTGACACACGCTTAGCACTGGTTCATGTGGCATTACTACTTTGCAGCTGGTATTCAGAGAGGATAAGGGAGGCTGAGAAGGAGTGATTGTTGAACACTTCCTACTTGATTTTGACCCTTGATTTTGTTTTGCAGGATACTGATTTATCAAGAAATATTCCTGGTAAAGTGAAAGTGTCTGCACCTAAGCTCCTGAACATGAAAAAGAAGTGAGCGTTGGTCATAAATCATGGATATGTGTTTGAACTGCCACTACTACTTCAGAAGAGGACAGTGACAAACCTGCCACCTGGACCTCTTCAAATTTTGCTAATAAAGTAAAATAGCTATAATCAGTTGGACTAAATTTTTAAGAGGCAGAGATGAACTGTTTCCTGCATCTGACCCTGGCCTAGATCTATTTGTATGGACTTTAAATTACATGTAGCATGTGACTCCTCTAAAGTGCACAAGTAAAGTACTACTGGCCTTAGTTGTCAAAGGCAAGACTGATTTTGGACTGATCCTCTTGCTAATACTGTGAGGACTGGCACAGACCCAGTCCGTCCTCTCATTACTTCCTGCTCTAGCTTATGCTGTAGCAAAGTCCTGCTGCTTGTTCGTTCCAGCTCTCCTTTGGCAAAGGCTGGGCTTTAAACATACGACCCTGTTTGGAGCCCTCTTTCTAGTCAGGACATTGACTGTATTAATCTGCTCCCACTTAACAGTGTCATGTTTGGGAGTGAAGATAGATTTGACTGTACAGGCTTTTGATAAACATTATCTATCTGTCATTGCTAAGAAAAGTCATGCAAGGACATAAATCCAAGTCTTGCTTCTGATGAGTCAGCTGCAGTCACTTACTGGCTGTGGGAGCATGACAACATTATGAATGAATGGGAGATAGTATAATACTTTGCTCATAGGGTGGGGATTTTATATTTGGACTTATATGTACTCTGTTTTTTGTCTGTCACAGGCAAAGGCCAGAGTAAAACAGATGAATGGTGAGCCGTAGCTTAAAAAGCACAGATCTAATAAAATGCCCCAATACTATTCACCCCAATGGAGTGCACATAAGACAGCTAATTGAATTACAGTTTAGTATTATGAAAAGAAATGAGACAGTAAGTGGAGTGCTGAAGTCACTTTGTTCCAATATTTAAATCACAAGCCATTTATTAGTTTCTCAACCCCTCCACTGGATCAGTGGTGGCCTATGCCTCCTGATGCCTGGGAGACAAGGCAGAGCCAGAAGGACTTTAGTGCTGGATGCTGCTCACATACAATGTACTTTCAGTAGTTTTTAAACTAGTGAAGCTGAACAGAGCCTGGCAGCTGTTAGTCATCAGCTTCACCATATGCATGAAGCTCTGAATATGGAAGCTGCTGAAGGACATTAATAATCAAGCCATTCCTGGCAACCTGGGAGTTTGTGCTTTTGGCTAGTCCTAGACATGCATGGTCTAGTTTGACACTTAACTACTGATTGACTAAAGCATTTTCACACTCACTCCAGGATTAAGACAGAATACAATGTCTACTTATCACTCACACTTACAGCTCTTAAATAACCCCACAACAACATGACACTTAGTCACCATCCCTCTACATTTGTGTCTAAACAACTCAAACTTCTAAACCTTAGTGCTGGGAATAGCTCACCAGCTTAAATTAAAATAGCAGTTTCTCTAACCTTAAACTCATGTGGTCAAACATGTTAGGAACCTGTCTTATTCCTATCTGTGAGATGCTAATACAGACTAAAACTACTCTATCATGTTGAATAATGCTAAAGAGTCATTGTTCTTTCCTATTAATGGTGTCCTAAAGAACATTAGTGCCTGAAAATACTTCTAGCATTGCCAAACTTTAAGACCCAGAAATTCAGTAACTACCCACAAATCCTTGAATGGTAACTCCTTAAACAGTGTTTCTCCCTGCATTGACACACTCTGAAGTAATTTAGGATAGGAAAACTACTATCATCACGTAATGAAGTGAGTGGCATTAAGTTGAACAAACCATTACTGGTTTAACTTAGATTACGCACTGATACATTTCAACTTGCATTAAATACATTTATTGCAAACATCTTTACACAAAAATAGGTTCTCTCTAAGCCATTCACATGCAACTTACAACCAACAAGCTACTACCAACGACAATGCAGATATTTATACAAGTCTCACATCTGCCACACGTGGTTGGTAAAATTATTACATCTTTTAGAATTGCTCATCCATGCAGAGGTTGTTCACAGAAGTAACTGATAGCAGAAGTCTTAAGAGCCAGATGTATTGTTACTTCCAAACCGCTGATTGACACTGTGAAGCAAGTGCTTTGGGAGGCAGGTCCATGAGTTGGCTAATATCTCTTTGAAGCAAATGACTGCTTCTAGGCACAGCCTTAGAAAAATAATGAATATCTCAGTTACTATTAAAAACATAAGTGAAATAGCACCAAAGGTAAGAATTCTGTTTCTTAAAGCTGCTTAGTTGACTTGTTCCCCCCAAAGTATTAGCTGTTTTCATTGTCAGAGGATTGTGAAGTCTTCTTTACAAAAGAATGGAAGCAAGACTCCTTCCATCACTGAATGCTATTTCAGCTTTCCTAGGGGGAATGTTATTACCTCAGTCTCCCCCCGTATGCTTAGGAACCATGATCCGGTACGAAAGTACAAGGTATTACTAAATGAGAAGGGAAGAACAGGGGTGTAAAATTCAAAAGTGTATTTTTTTTTTACCTTACAAGAGATTTTGGTTGTAGAGAAAACACAAGTATCTCATTACTGTGCGCCTGGAAAGAGAGATGTTAATTAATATTTGAAGCCTTAATGCATTGATAAGTTCATTCCTTAAAAAGCAGCAAAAGTTTCTCTCTTAAACAGTGAAATTTTCCTGTGGCATTGAAAGTTACTGATGGCAGAAAAAGGCGTTTCACAGTTGCAGGTTGCAGTTGAAGTGACAGATGCTAAGGGCCGGTGGGGGAGGTCTCACTTTTTAAAAAACTTGTTTTTCCACACAGCAGCACTAGAAGGTACATACTACATATGTGAAATTCTTAAACAGACTTACTGCTTTGTGATGGGCAAGCAAGTTGTTGGCACAGCCACCAAAAACAATCACCTCTCCTTCTTCACTTGCACAAGCTGTATGCCACAGCCTAGAAAATGAACAAGCCACACATTTATTAAGTACAAAGAGAAAGAGTCCAAGTACAGCATCAGTACCATTACAGAGAAGTGCTGTGAAATAAGATGTAATATTTATATGCAAGGTCGATGCAGACAGGTTAGCTTCAGCATGTAATAATTTCTAGCAACAGTAAAGAATGACTTCAGTGGATAAGAGTTATCATTCCCTGTACACAAACCATATTACAGATATCCACTTTGTAAGCTGTTTGGGTGGGAAAGCAAAGTAGTGCTGAGTAGTTCTGATGTTCTGAGTGGTTCTATAGTCTGATAACGGGCACTTGTGAAGTTCATCTTTTGAAAGTAAACTAAAATTTACAGTAATCCTAGTTTTGGTAGCTGAAGGGTTTGTGAAGAAATATTGTTTGATGGTAGAGCATTCTATTTTTTTCAGTCAAGCCAATCATATCAGAGGCTTCCAGTTTTTGAGAGCTGAACGAACCAGTTACAAGAAGATTATCCAAACAATGAGATAAGGTGAACCCTCACCATCCACACTGTACATTCCACCTGTTGTCTAACACAGGTTATTACCGATACACCTTAGCTGCCTTATAGTACTTACATCAAATTTCAGTGTTTTTATCAAGCATCTGAAAAATATTATTTAAATTTCAACATACTATTTAAGGCAGGTTTCTGAACCCTGCAGGAAGATCAATTGTAAGAAAGGTGCTTGGGGTAGGACAAAGTTTAGCTCTAGTAGATTACTACAATCTTACTACAGAATTTTGCACAATAAGGAACGAGTACTTTTCCATATTGCCTTTTCTAAAAGATTAGCCTTAAGTTATAGTATGGTCAGGGCTGACCACCACATAAGAATTATGATACTGAATCAGACCAGTGGTCCATTCAGTCTGGTATCTTGCAGCTGTGGTCAGTACTAGACACTTCAGTAAAAGGTACAAGTAGTGCCATACTAAGCAGGTTATCCTATACCTGTCCATCAGTTGGGGCTGGCTTATGCCCAGAGGCACTGACGTTCATCATCATTCTAAAACATTTTATCGAATGTGACTGTGCTTAGTCTAATCCGTGAGTGCAATCCTTGGATCTCTGTCTCAGTTGCAACTTGTACCAACAAGTTCCATAGACCACTTATGCAAAAGAGTATTTCCTTTTCTAAGTTTGTTACCTTTCACTTCTATTCAACGTCCCTTTGTTTTTAGTACAATAAAGGGAAAGAGTACCCCTATGCCTTCCCTATATTGTTATCTTATATCTTTCTCTAAACAGTCCCAATTGTGTGAATCTTCTTCCTTTAATTATTTTTTGACAAACATCTCTGAACTTCCTCTATTACGGCTTGAGATTGGGTGACCAGAATTTAACAATATTCCAAGCAAAGATGATTTATGGTGACATTACACTGTTTTCCATCCCATTTTTATGCACCCTAACTAACACTGTTAATTTTCTGACTTCAGCCATGTAAAAGACAATGGTCTCTATTTAGACAGAGTCCATCAAGCAAAGCAAAGCAGAGCCAGCTGTCAGCCAGGGCAATCAAAGCTTTGTGATTCCCCTCATGTCCGGAGCAGCAGTTTTAAACAAACATTCTGTTAGTAGGCCGAGTATGGATTTCCCAGTCTGACATGTTAAGGTCTGCTCTGCCTGTCGAGTACTAGAGCTTTGTGTACTAACACCACTAAAATGGACATTCTAGTTAGTTCTCTGCCATTTGATAGGCTAATAGTTACGCAGAACAGTAATATAGTTTTGAGTTCCAAACAATGTAATCACAGAGGGATATGCTGGAGTCTGTATCAGCACACAGACACATCACTACCTTAATCCTGCACCTTCATAAAACAGGATTATTATCATGGTTGGGTAAGAGCAACCACTCTGATTTATCACTACTTTAACGTTAAAAAAAGAT